TGACGGAGTTCGGGGCCTCTTCCTCCGGGTCTGTCCGCCGATCAGCTCGCGCCGCGCTCTGCTCCCCTTGCAGTCGCGCGAGGTGCAGCCCCTTCTCACAGGCGCCCGGTAGCAAATCCTGACTGCAGCGCGGACGCCTGTGCCCAGCGGCGCGGTAGGAACTGTACCCCGCGCCCAACTTCTCGGCTCCAGCCCGCGAGCGCCAGCGGCCGGCTCATGAATATTTATATACCTGGATCCTGGCTCCGCCCCCACTCCGGCGCGCCAATCACCGGGCTACCGGCTCATAAATATTTATATACCCGGGATCAGGGTACCTCCCCTGCACGGGCGCACCAATCACCGGCGACGGGGCGGAGCCCTTGCGCCCAGGGCGCCGCAGTCCTTAAAGAAGTCAGCGGGGTCCGCGCGGCCCGGTGCGCCTTCTGCACCTGGGAGTTTGGTCACCTTGGGACGGGCTGTGAGATCGTGGGCCCCGACTGTCCCCAAGAGTCCCAGGGCGCCCGAAGTCTGGTCCCGTTCCCCGAGGCAGCGCTTAGGGGACTAGAACGGGGTTGTATCTCCGCTCGCGCCTCACAAACCCGTTTCAAACCAGCCAAGACCCGGTCATCTGCTCGCCACGAGTGGGGGTGACCTGCAGACGGGCGCCCGGGCCGAGAGGGGACCCTCGCGTATCGGACCGAGGGAGGCTGGTCCGGGGTGGCTGGCAAGGACTCCAGGGAGGGGTCCCTGGTGGCCTCGGAGCGAGGACCTCCGGGGATCCCTTCTGGCCTCACTGTTTACTCGGGTAGCTCCGGCTTCCTTCCTTAGAAAGTGGGGCGATCACAGCACAGGGCTCGTGGGGGTTTGGATACGTGGGGGAGAGAAAATGTACAACGCATCTGGACCCAGTGCTTCCTTAGAAGAGAAGTCCGTGCTTCCCTAGGAAACAAAACGAAAACTTGTGAACCGGCCTGGAAGCCTCCCCAGGGTCCCGTTCGCGCCGCACTTTCAGGCGCAGCCCTCGGCCCAAATTTCCCCGCGGGCCAGAGCCCCCTCCTCGGAGGCGTCCTCGGGGCGGCCCGGCCACGCGCGT